CATGACCCCCGGGGGTAGGGTGGGGCCACAATGGCCCCGAAGGTTTTACATAGAAATATATAGGAAAATTTTTTTTAAAATCATCGTCTCAAGAATAGCAAATCCATGATTGGTCATGGGACTACTTTTGATTTAAACTTTTCAGTAATAAACCAATTTATACTTTTTTCTAGCCACAGTGCTCAGGTGAGCGATGTGACCCATGGGCCTCTTGTTTTATTAATACTTCCTTGTCGAATTGTAGAAAACCCAATGCTTACTATTTCCTATAATGAATCAATTGAAAAGGGGCAGTTTTTTCTCTCTCTCATCTTTAACCTGTCAAAAGTGAGAGTCCTCTTCATTTTAGCTTATTAGCTCACCTGAGCTAATTGTTAACCGCCTTCTTGGTAGAATTATGAGAAAGTTTCACAATTTTATTTAAAAGTATATTTATGTAGATTGTTTTCTGTCTTGCAAAGTGTAATGCATGTACTATAGTCTGGTCCGATTTATAGGAAAAAATACTTCTTACGGCAAATAATTTATTATTTCGTCCAGCATAGTAATTTAACCTATTTCGAGTATATATGAATCCGAAAAAATATGCTGGACTTCATGAAAATGGCGTTAAAGTGGTCAAAATGGCGATTCAAAATGGTGGACATCAAATTTTTCTAATTTTCTCTCAATATCGTTCAAAAAGGAGAAATAATGTGTGAATATCTTACTGAGTGTAATAAAACTATAAAAATGATAATAGAATGCTAACATTATTAGTTTAACTCAGAAAATTTAGTCGTTTCTACACTTAATTTGAATTTTCTCTGATTTATTTGTTTATTGTTCTATATTCTGCTTTGTTTAGGATCTTACATTTGCAAATATCCATACACTGCAGATTTGTATTTTTCCTCTACATCTCACTATTCTACACTTGAATGATGGTGCAGCTGTAAGTTAAAAGTCAATATGGCAATTCAAAATGGTGGAAATTCCTTTTTTTCAAATTATTTCTTAATGTCGTTTACATAGGAGAAAGAATTTGTGAATATCTTACTGAGCGAGTACAATTAACCATGTAAAATTTCAACAGAACACTAATATGATCACTTTAAATCGGAAAATTTAGTTGTTTGAATTTAAAATGTGTTAATTAGCTCAAAATGGGGATTCAAAATGACGTCATATTCTCGAATTTCGTAAAATACTCAAGCTGCTTAATTTTGAGTCGTTTTGCAGAAAATAAATTACAGTTTGTTTTTTTATATATATAGTATATTGATAAGTCCATTAAATATGAACAAACAAAAAATAACAGAAAAGATTCATTTTTTCTGGAAATAGTTAAAACAAACTCGACTTAAGAGTTTCCAAACTCGACTGTTCCAAAGCCTTTGAGCCCCCGTTTACCTAAAATCACTCCTGAATCCTGTGTTTATCAACTGCATTTCTACCCTACAGCAGCACACATCAAATATAACTGAAGAAATTCTTGTCAGATTTTATCGAATACTTTGTTCTAGCTTTTTAGCACTTATAAGAACTTAGTATTATCCCCTAACATCTTCTATTCCAGTGTTATTTGTTATATGTTTCAGTCTGTCTTCGGAATTTAGATATTTTCAACACTCAAGTAAAATGGTGCCCCGTGTCAAGGATGACAACCCACTTGGCATGTAAAAGATCGTTTCTCTGGAGTTCGAAAAAGAGTAAGCTCACTGGGGACCGCCAGAGAAACCAAAATCCTTCAAAAACTGATTATTCAAACTGATAGTCCGCCTTAACATGGCTGAAAAATTGCCGAAGCGGCGTTAAACAATATACAATCAATCAATCAACACTCAAAGAAAAAAAAAACATTTATGTTCAAATGTTAAAAGTCTGTTTTGTTTTCCAAAACCTTTTGCAAAATGAAGTAGAGGTTCTGTGAGCAATTAGCTCACTAAATGATAGCCCCTGTCTCCCATATGAATATGATAATGACAGTGTCCATGTTTTGCTCTGTGAAACCCAAAATATGTGTTGGATCAAAAAGTAAAATAGGAGGTGCACAATGGAAATATGTAATCAAGATTCTGTGAAAGTTTATCAAATTTCATTCATTGGTATGAGAGGAGTTGCGGATAAGGAATGGGTACCCCAAAGCGTAAAAGACGGACGGACGGACGAACCGATTACTCTATACCCTTCCGCTTTTTAAGCTGGGGGGATAAAAAATCTCTGATATTCAAGACATGTAGCTCTTTATTTCCTGACCGCGTATAGATTTGTTGTCTTTTAGGGTAGAAAGGTCATTCTATTAGCAAGAAAAGTCTCAAATTTTATTATCTGGAATCACATTGTGTGCATATTTTGGTGAGAAAAGTTATATAATTATGCAATTTAAGTGCGCCTGCAGATTCCTCGTGATTCTTATCATGTACAAGCTTTCGTACCAATAGGACTAAGCCATTCTTGACTTCGATCTAGTCAACACTTCTCGTGACAATAAAATTTTAGTGATACAGAATCAGAGCTGGACAATCAAGAAAATTTATGGTTTACGTATTTTATACTGATAATTCTTAATAAATATGTTTATTGTTGGATATTTTAATATATTCAGATTTATATGATGTAACAACTACTAGCCCTCTAACTGGTCGTGGTTTATCATTTTAAAAATCATACTAAGTAATGTTGCACTAGAACTTCCACATGTACATAAACATTTCTACACTGGACTAAAAATAGATCAAGAATTTCCAACAACTGATATGATTTAGCAGCCCTCGAACTACAATGTTCACTCGCCTTAATGCTCGGAGAATACTGCTCTTGGGATAGTTTAATTTTCCTATTGTCCTCAAAACAGCAATTATTGTATGACATTATTGTTATTATGATATGAAGAAGCATGATAAGACAGGTATATAGGTAAATTGTCGTCAAAAATTTAATAATAGAAGTAATGAAACAAAAATCGTGTTATAAAAATCCTAAGTCTTTAATAAAAATATCCTCCAACTTTCATTACATAATTAAACATTATTTCATGAATAAAGAAAATCCTGTAATTTTTTCTGTATAAAACGTTATTTGAATTGCCATTTTGAGCTAAGTAACACGTTTTAAATTTAAACGACTAAATTTTCCGATTTAAAGTGATCATATAAGTGTTCTATTGGAATTTTACATAGTTGTACTCCGCTTACTAAGATATTCGCAAATCCTTTCTCCTATGTAAACGACATTAAGAAATGATTTGAAAAAAAAGAATATCCGCCATTTTGAAACGCCATTTTGACTTTTAACTTACAGCTGCACCATCATTCAATATGTAGGATAGTGAGATGTAGAGGAAAAAATACAAATCTGCAGTGTATGGATGTTTGCAAAATAATGTAAAATCCTGAACAAAGAAGAATAAAGAAACAATAGACAAATAAATCAGAGAAAATTCGAATTTAGTGTAGAAAAGATTAAATTTTATGAGTTAAACTAATAATGTTAGCATTTTATCATATTTTTTATAGTTTTATTACACTCAGTTAGATATTCACTCATTACTTCTCCATTCTGAACGACAATAAGAGAAAATTAGAAAAATTTGATGTCCGCCATTTTGAATCGCCATTTTGATCACTTTAACGCCATTTTCATGAAGGCCAGCATATTTTTTCGGATTTAGCATACTTGAATTAGGTTAAAAAACTATGCTGGACTAAATAATAATTATTTGCCGTTAGAAGTTATTTCTAGCCTTCTTTTTAAAAATCAGGACAAGACTACTAGAAGTTGAGAATCGATTTCAAACTAACTATTAATGTACCAGGGTATATCAGGTATTTTCAGATCAGAAAAAAATTACAGACATTTCTTGGCGACGTGCATACGTGTAACGTGAAGGTGGACAAAAAAAAATATAACACGTTTTGCACAATTTTTGGTCAGGAATCACTAATCTGAAACAGAGAATCCAAAGCTGACTATCTTACTACTCGACTTTACTTATGTATTTCTCAATACATCCGTAGCACGTAGTTTCATTTTAATAAAATACATTGAAAAGTGGTGTTGCTATTTAAACTAATGAACATGCATATCCAGAATTCAATACTACCAAGCGTAAAAAGGTGAAAGCGATAAATTGGGTAATTTAAAGATCATATTCTAAGAACACATGCTGACAAAGAGAAGTACACCGGAAATGACGTAAAAGCAACCACCAACAACTGCAAGCCCGAAGGCCCAGTCCAAGTAGTCCATGTCTTTCTTAGAACCGAAAATAATGACACCCAGCAGGATCACCGCGCCTGTAATTTTAAAAATAAATCCATGTGGAATATTAAGTTACTTTCTTGTTTCAATTTAATCATAACCAATAAATTGAGACATAAAAAAGAGCTCACATTCTAAAGGAATGTATGCCATATCAATCTGAAAATTACTAGTACTACACCAAAAATTGTATTGCTTTAGCGCTAAAAATTACCTGCTCCTAATGTAATTATTGCAGTTAGAAGTGCTACAATTTTATTTCCTGCAGTCTTTGATATACATGTGTACAGAACGAGGAAAACAAGACTGATGATGGCAGCCACCAGACCAACAGATTCGAACACTCTCACGGATTCGAACCAGTCAGGAACTAAAAATAAAAAACATTGGACGAATTCATTTCCTGAGTGTTTAATCTGCCCCTCCCCCCTCTCATAAAAAAAAAAAACTCGTACATTTCTATTACGAAAAAGAAAAGCTTAAAGACAAGTATAATTGATTGGACGTTGGTGAAATTCCGACACAAGCGGTACAGCTTTGGAGATGCATGTTCTTCTAAGTAGGCACCGTCGGGTAAAATAAAAATATTAAGTGCATGGACGGTTTTTTTTTCAAATTGGACTTGAGATTGCCTATAAGAGGTTTTGAAACAGCTTCGTGGTTTCACTCATATACCATCTTTTTTTTCCACTGTGTAAAACTTCCTATACATCAAAGAAGCAAGAAAAGTACTCTTTGTTAATTGTGTTCGACATTATTATACACTTTTGTTACTCTTGGAATGCAAATTTCGTACATATGTGTTTTGTTTTTATCACTGATACCTATGGCGACACAAGATACAACTGCTCAAGAGGAGCCTACGGCAGCGACGCTGACAGAGCACATTTTTTACAGAAGAGCTAGGTTATGTTTGTTTGGATTAACTTATTATGAATTCATTAAATTGAGAACCGCGCCATGTCCTGCAGTGAATAGAAGAGTTTAATTATTGATGGGGTTTTTTTTAAAGGGGGGGGGGGCAGATTTATCTTGTTTCATTAGAAGTTTAGAAAAAAATTCAGTTCCAGTGTTTTAAATTCATTTTGGACCTATAAGGCTTAATTGTTGCCCTTTTTTTATTTTCATAGTCGCGCAATTTCTTTATTATAAAATTAAAATATGAAATTTGACAGGGCCATTTGCTAGGGTTCTAAAAAGGTTCGACAGATGGTTAGGGGAGGAAAATCCCTCCTCCTAGCCAAATATTTTTATATCTGGGTATCACTGTTGTGTGTGAGAAGGTGTACATGTGAGCGTATGTTTGCATTTTTGAAGTAATTTCTTCATAGATAAAATTAAAAAAAATACATAAAATAAATAAATAAAGCAAATTTTCTTTGAATAGATGAATAATTTACTAGTATTGTTTCAAACATAACATTTTCATACTATTTTTTAAAAATATTTTTGTAAAGGGGCGTGGTCACATCCATTTGCACCCCGTTCCGACGGTCTTCTTTATTGAAAAAAAAAATCTGAAATGTAATGGAGTTACAATGAACTTACGATAAGTGTTTTTGCCGACATCTCCCAGATCTGTGTAATATTTGCATCCCTCAATGCCTAGAACTTTGCTGCATATTTTCCATAGGCCTCCATATCCTCCAAAAGTAAATTTTTCCCAGTATGGTACCCCAAACCCCACCACAAAAAGGAGAAAGCCCAAGCCAATAAACACAGAGGCCACCTTGGTTGCTGATGGGACCTCTCCGAATCCAGCCATGTTACGTTTGCGATCGAGTGAGCAGGTTAACTGAGCATGGGTAAGGTGCACGTAAACACTTAATTACGACTCCATAGTCATATTAGTCAAAGATCTCATCAGTCTCATTTGATTTTTATTAATTTGAGAAACTTTGAAGAGGAAAATGCCCCATCACTAATTATTTGGGCTTACAATGAGTAATGCTTCTTCTGATTTATTATATGTCCTCCCTAATGGGGGATCCATGTTGTGTTGCATAATTATTGTCAGCTTTGTATTTGTCTCCCCGCTGTTTGTCTACATAGAAATCATGTTTGATCGTAACCCTCGATCTCTAATGAAAAAATATGCAATCTTTCCCCGTAACTATGGAATCCGGATAAGGTCGTGTAGTTCAGGATTGCAGCATCCAGTATCGATTAAACTGTCGATAGCAAGATATGTGATAGCGAAATGAGGATGATGCGATGGTGCGACGATGCGTTAACGATGGTCAAATAGCGAGGAAGAGATAGTGAACATTGCTTTATCGTCATCGTTTCATCACTATCACACAATCGCCTCATCGTCAACGTACCAGCATTATCGCGCCATCGACCCTTCAGCCGATTATCGATGATGCGAGAGTTACTACATGACCCTATCCGAATTCCATAATATTCTCCGTAAATGATAAAGAATTTACAATCCAAGTACCACGCACATCTCCGAAAGTATAAATGAACAATCAATTTTCATAATAATGGAAACCTTTACTTTCTTGAAAACTGTGGAAGATTATCCGGACAATGATGTACTTTACATCACTATTGAAAATAGTGACCATATTTTCCTCATCAAATCAGAATCAATGAATATGCACATCTGTTATATACGTATAATTGATCTGCAAAATCTTGAAAACTGTTCTAAAATTTATCCGGACAATGGTTATCCTCTGGTAGCCGCCAGCTCCGCTATCAAAACCGGTCAGAAAATACGTTCTACAAAGTATTGGTGGCCCTCCACTTTTGTTCGATATGTATGTCAAACGAAAAACAACTATAATAGTTTTTATTTATACTGTAGCTTGTTCTCTTTTTAAACACATGTACACATACACAATATTAATGTAATAAAATTTTATTGCTATAAAATGTGCATGTATCAGCACCGTATAAAATACGTTATTACATATATATATAAAAGTAAATTATAAATAAGCAATCATGTATAATTTCTATAAAATGACAAATACAATGAGTTTACTTAGAGCACATGCTAACAAAGAGAAGTACTCCTGCAATGACGTAAAAACAGCCACCGACAGCGGCTAGGGCGAAGGCCCAGTCTAAGTTATCCGTGTCTTTATTGGAGCCAAAAATGATGACACCCAAAAGAATAACACCCCCTGAAATGTAAAAATAAGTCAAAATGAAAAAACATATTGCATAACAGGCACCTAGCACCCTTTATATTAAGAGGGTATGAATCATTGAATCAAGCTATTTCAGAGAATTTGTGAAAAAAGAACATGCGCGCAAGTGGAGGGAGGGGTCAAAGGGGGGCAATCAAAGAGGGGCGGAGGGGGGGGGCACTAAGAGTTATGTTATAAAATTTAATTGTAAAAGTTTCTTGAGATATCGCCCGGAAATGAAACATACAGAATGTCTAAATTTTCTACCTTGACCTTTGACCTTTTGAGCCATAGGGAGTTGTGGTATAAAATTTCTTAGCTGCAGATCTGTAGCGTTATGGTTTTATATATTTGTCTTTGACCATAAGACACTATGTAAAACCATAACGCTACAGATCTGCAGCTAAAAATTTCTCTGCAAAAACAGACAGAAATTATTACATTGACCTTTGACCCTAAAATCAACAGTGTCTTTCTTTAAGCCATAGGAAGTTGTTAGGTAAAAATTAAATGGAAATTTTAAAGCTGATACTGGGTGGAAACAAAAAACTGGTGTTACAGACAGACAAAAATACTGGCAGACGGACGGACGGACAGATGGACTCAATTTAATATCTCCCTTCAGTGAAAGAAGGAGACAAAAAAGACATTAATTAAAATAATGTGTCAGCCCCTTCCCCCTTCGTTCTACGTGTGTATGTACGCAAGAATACAAGTTTAAAAATATGAATTGCGTTTCACTTATTTTTTATTTGACATATATTTTACTGCTCAAATGACTGCTTTTTTACAACAGAACCTAAGAATAAGACCAAAATGTACTTTGAATTTTTATTGAATTATCAATTCTGTAAGATACATGTATTAAAGTAAATTCTGCTTCAGTTATTGGCCTTAGTCAAAAGTCTTTGGCTAAAAGGGACCCTGGGTCAAAAGTTCTGTGAATATATTCACCTATAGGTCATTTTCACCTATAGGTCATTATCATCCACAAGAACATAATCTATCATATCAAAACAAATTAATCCTAGCATTCTGAAAGCTTTGACATTGAATTACCTGTTCCTAGCGTAATGATGGCAGTGAGAAGGGCCACGATTTTATTTCCGGCAGTCTTTGATACACACACATACAACAGAAGGAAAACAAGTCCGACTAGGGCGGCTACCAGTCCTATCGCCTCGAACACTCTCACGGACTCAAACCAGTCGGGGACTGAAACAAACAGAACATAGATTTAACAGTTACACAAATGACAATGCTTCTTTCACAAGTTACTTATCTAGCTTGATGACAAGCATAACACCAAAATTTATTTCAATAAAATTTTTGGGAAGACACAAGTATACAATCTTATTATCTCCTCGCTATGGATTGCATATAGTAATGGGCTTGTTCAGTGTAATTGTGGGTGAGGGTGTGTGTTTGTTTGTCCTTGTGAACGCACCGTAATTTGCATCTTGATTGATATGGTATTTTGCGAGGGATACTCCGTTTTGCGGTGCCCATGTTAGTAAAAAATTCTTCCATATATAAAAATTATTTTTAAGTATTACATGCATACGTTTACTATAGATTTATTCAAGTTCATTTACATTGCAATGCAGAAGAACATAACATATCAAGATATGTGCTGTCGTTTATCTATCGGGCGAATCTTATTTTATTTTCAGTGTGCAAAAATTCACACAGTCCCGCGATGTCCCTATGTGTTCCCTATGATGTGTATCTGTAATAAAAACTGTAGTTAGAGCAGTTAGACAGAGAAACGGCATATTTTTATCCCATAATTCATTTAGCCTTGGGCTAATTTGATTCAGTGTTGATGTTTCTTAATTCATAACCATGTGGGTAAACCTATTGCGTAGTACCATTTGCTTTTATGCTGAATTTTCTGGAACATCGCATGTGTGACGACCTATCTAATAATCATATAAAGAAGTTGTATATGTTCTTATTATAAATTGTCATATACTTAAAACAATCCTTGGCATGCTTCAGTTGAGAGCAGAATTCGTAATCGTTTTATCTTGAACAACACTCGAGTACTTGTATGTGATGAACAATATGTACAAACCTCGTGTTAGAGAGAGAGAGAGAGAGAGAGAGAGAGAGAGAGAGAGAGAGAGAGAGAGAGAGAGATCTATGTCTCAAAGACATCATGTAATCACTGGCCATTGAAAATTGTAAATTAATCAAATACTCGTGTACATAACTTAATACTGAAGAAGGATTTTACTTAATTGTCTATAAACCTTTCACAGGGTTACTTTAATGCTAAAGAATTTGTCTCCAAAATTTAATTATGGAAATGGACAATTTAATTGGCTCGGAGTATGAAAGTAAAAATTATTCTTATGAACATAATCATGATAATGAATAATAGAATTTCTTACAATTTTTTTTCTATTTTTTGCCCATTGGTCCTATGGATTTTTTTGTTTTGTTTTGAACATATTTTATTGACAAGCAAAAGGATAAGAAACAAGTTCTAACAACTTACTAGTTCTTCTCCTTAAAAAAAACACATAGTAATTGTCATGCAAAATTGTAGCAAAAACTTGTACAAATAAGATTCAATAATATATCTAGCTAAATCTACAGGATTCATTTATAAATTTATGAACAGCGGCAAAAATGCCAATGTTTACTTCGATTGAGAGATTTTCGTTGCCCCATAGCAGTAGGTGTACATCTATGATGTTTAAATCAAGTCTAAAAAGATAGTCAAAAAGATTACTTCGAGCATTACAGTAATTTTTACAAACAAAGAAAAAATGATAGGCATCTTCCTGTTTACCACAAGAGCAATAGGGATTATCAATGATATTACGTTTGAATAAGTCTTGGTTCAATACACAGTTGTGCCTTAATTTAGTATGAATAATGTTGTTAATACGTTTACCAAACAAAAAATATGATGGTGCTTTAGGATTATTATCACTTATAATCTTACGAAAAGAATTGACTGAGATGGCTTCCCTTGTATCTGTATTCAATAAATTCCATTTTTTGACTGCATCAGGTACAAACGATTTATTAAATATTTCTAACCTGCCCCTTGGGATAGTTAATTGATCCTTATTTCGTGTATTGTATCTTGATGTGTGCTCTCGTTTCTTTGGGACTATATCTTGTATATATTCCGGTACATTACAATTATTAATTTTGAACATTGTAATCATTTTAGATTGGTAACGACGGTGTTTCAAAGGTACCCATCCTGTTTCAAAATAGAGTGATTCTCTTGAAGCTAGTATCGGGAGACCAGTAACTATTCTAGCAGCCATTAATTGTACTTTTTCAAGTTTTTCTACATCAGATAAAGAGCAACCATCCCAGACAATTGAAGCATATTCAAGTGTAGGTCTTACAAATGTTGTATACAAAAGAGAAAGATTTTTTCTACCGATTGAAAATTTCAACTTCTTCAATAACCCCAATTTCTTATAAGCATTATTAACAATACCATCTATATATTCAGACCAGCTGAGATTTTGTGACAACAATATACCTAAATGGCGATGCGCCGATACAAACTCCAGTACATTACCTTGAAAATACAAGTTAGGTAAAACAGGTCTATGTTTTAAAGAAAAAAATACAACCTTTGTTTTTGCTGGATTAAATCTTAAAAGCCATTTACTCGACCATTTATCTAAAACATCAAGATCATGGTTTAACCTGTATTCTATATCTAGTACATTATATGATGCATGTTGCAGTGAATTGTCGTCAGCAAATAATCTACACATTGTAAGCATATTTTCAGCAACATCATTAATATATATCAAAAATAAAAGAGGACCTAGAACTGAGCCTTGAGGCACACCTGCATATATATTGAGGTTGGATGATAGCAGATCTTTATACATAACTTTTTGTGATCTATTTCTCAAGTAACTTGTAAACCACAGTAAAAGATCACCAGAATTTGAAAAGAAGACCCTTGTGCCATACTCTGTCGAATGCTTTAGATAGATCGCAAAAAACCATACAACACGATTTGCCTTCGTCTATACTTTGCACAATACTATGATAAGTTTCTAGAAGCTGGTACACTGTAGAGTGACCAGGTAAAAAACCCGCCTGATATCGATAAAACAAGCTAATTCAGAGAATTCGTGTCCCCCGCTTAGGGAAAAAGTCGGCTCCCCCTGACTGAATTTGTAGAATTATTAAATGTATACATGTATACTGAAGCAAATAAAATACATGTATGTCAATATGCATATAAAGATGCTTATTCTTCATTATGTGCATAGAAGATTTTTTTATATGGAATTTTTATAACACTGTAATGATGATTTTATAACCTCATAAATTTTTCTTTTCACATGCTGAATACTATCATTTAGTAAAAAAAAAGTATTTGAAAAAAAAAGAAAAAAAAAGAAAGGTTCGACCGAGATTCGATCCCGGGACCTCTCACATACCAGGCGAGAGACATAACCACTGGACCACGGAATCGCTATACGTGTAGGGAATATATGCGGAAGTGAAGTCACATACATGTATATATTCATGTTTTCATGTTCGGTATTGTCAAAATTTTACACAATCCATGGTGTTTGATTTATTTAGCCTTTATTAAACAGTTCCAATAGATGTAATAAGAACATAAAGTCCGCCGAGAACCTGTTTTATACGCAATAACTCTCCTCATGCCCCTGCGCTAAAAATAGCGACATGTAATTAATACTATAAATACTAATAAAACAAACGGGGCGGGGCACTTTGAGAGGGGTAAGAGACGTCCTAGGGAGTTTTGATATAAATTACATTGCATAAGCTCAAAATATTCTTGAAATATCGCCCGGAAATAATAGTATTACACACAGACAGAATGTATAAATTTACGACCTTGAACTTTGACCTTTTGACCTCAAAATCAATAAGGGTCTTTACTAGGCCACAGGGAGTTGTTATATAAAATTTCATTGCAATAGCTCAAATGGTTCTAGAGATATCGTGTGGAAACGAAAGTGTTTTAACAGACAGAATTTGCTTATTTATGACCTTGACCTTTGACCTTTTGACCTCAAAATCAATAGGGGTCTTCTTTAGTCCATAGGGAGTTGCTATGCTAAATTTCATTGCAAAAGCTCAAAGGGTTCTCGAGATATCGTGTGGAAACGAAAGCGTTACAGACAGACAGAAAGACGGACGGACGGACGGACGGACAAACCCAAATTAATATCCCCCACTTTTCAAGCGGGGGACAATAAATTGTTATAATGAAAATAATTATACACGTGTTTGAAAATAATTCTCTCCATAATTTTGCTAACGCAGCTTAACAACGACACAGGCCTATAGTTAGACACTAAAGACGGATCATCCTTTTTAAAGAGAGGTAATACATGAGCTACTTTCCACATGGACGGGAAAACATTCTCTGACAGTGATTTATTAAATAACATAGTCAATGGTTTTGAAACAGTAGAAACGGTATTTTTAAGCATTTTGTGACTGATGCAGTCGGGACCTGTGGCTTTATTAACAGGAATTATTGAAATAATGTCAACTACCTCTTGTTCATCAATTATGATATTACTAAGATTATCACTACATGTAGAGTAGATTTGTGGTAGACTATGGTTTTTATCATCAATACATGAAATGGATGAAAAATAACTGTTGAGTGCTTCAATTTTATCTTGATCAGAAAAGGCTAAGCTATTTTTCCCATTATCAGTAGTAATTTGTAATGGAGGGATATCATTGGATGATTTAACATTAAATGCGTCCTTCATTAGTTTCCAATATAATTTGTTGTTGTTTTTGTTTGCGTCTACTAGGTGCATTTCTATATTGTCATAGTAATTAGATATAGCATATTTTTTCATGTTATTGAACGTGTTCCTAACTTTTTTGAACTTTTTTGGATTTTTTTGTCAGTGGCGCCTCCGTAATTTCTTCCTTTTAAACAGACACCTAGCTATTCTCTTCGAGGTTAACCTTCGCATTTGTTTAACTCATTACTCCAGTGAACGTGTAGCACATTCTTCCTGTGTGAATGTTTTTGTTTACATGCTCGGACAGTGAAATGTTATTAAGACGCCAACGCCCTAATCGCGGCCATATTTCATACAACTTAATATTTCTAGCAAGACGCCAAATCGCTTTCGTGTAATTTTTGCATAATGGGAAGGGGGGGGGGGGTTAACGTATAAAACTTTGGCATCCTAAATCCTCCATCATCATGTATACTGTAGTGTGTTTCGAGCAGCCAGTTAAATTTTTTAACACTTAAACTGAATGAAAAACGCAGTAAAGTCCACAGTTAAGACTGTATAATTGATCAGTATGTTTCCTTCTGAAATTCAGTCCAGCATCAACGCTGCCTGTAGTTGAACAAATTCTTTTTAATGATCTCACTCAATTGTTGCATACATGCTGCATGCTTTTAAATATTTATTAAATTTTGAGTTACTTATAAATTTTTGTGTTCTAATGTAAAAATCTGAGATAATCGAAATAAAAAATAAAAACTTACGAAAAGTGTCCTTCCCCACATCATCTAGATCAGTGTAATATTTGCAGCCATCGAGTCCCAAAAATGCTCCACACCGCTGCCACAAACCACCGTGTCCCCCCAATATGAACTCCTCCCAATAAGGGGCACCAAATCCCACGACAAACAGTAGAAACCCGAGTCCGATGAAGACCGAGGCCACCTTAGAGGCTGCTGGGGCGTTTCCACCGGCCATTTTTCGTTCACTGCGAGTTACACACAGATTGAGGAATATATTGGAGCGGGCGTGGGAGTGCGAGTGAGTAAGACACACGCGGGAAAGAAATGTTTATTACGACGCCATGATTGGGATAGGGTCTCCACCTCTCGTTGTTTTATAGTATTTGTTGTATTTTATGACAAATTGTCACATAATATAAAAACATCCTCATTCGTAATTGTCAAGAGAGTACATTGCCAGCTGTTCACAGAAAGGCATCTTTTCGTCGCATTTTGTTTTATTTTTTCAAGTTACATAAATTATTCTGCTATTAAATATGTGCGATTTATTGTGATTGATAAATGTTAATTGGGAATATAGAGATCGAAGCGAGAGAGGGAGGGAGTATTTAGTGAATGATACATGTCAATGGGGTGTCAAATAGCGGTCAAATCTCGTAAAAACAACGAACTTCCGATAAATAGGGCGTCTATAGGTCTGTGGTATTAACCCCTAATGCAACCTGTGTAATATGATGGTTTATGTTAATTCTTCTGCAGGTTAATATCGTAGCGTTGTCACCTGTACTTCTTAACAATTTCTTGTACCTTGGACATTGCCAGTACAAATAGAAAAGGGGGGTTGAAATCTTTAAATAGAAAAGGGGGGTTGAAATCTTTTACTTAGTACAAATAGAAAAGGGGGGTTGAAATCTTTAAATAGAAAAGGGGGGTTGAAATCTTTACCGGTTCATAGAAACTGCAGTATTCACTGTCTCTGTGTGAGTGGCTGTGTGTCAGGGTATGTGGGTGTGTCTGTATGTGTGCATGGGAGTGGTCAATGAAATACGTATACGGTACAACCTAATTAATTTTCTCTCAATACTGTTTTTCTTTAGCTTCTCTGAAGATTTGCCGCACTTTCGTAGATTTAGAAATGGGTATTAACTATTAATAGCCATTCTCTGTAACCACTTAAACTTCGTTGCCACGCATGGTCACCGATTTTGATAAAACTTCACCCATGCTTAGTACTTGACACCAGAAACAAATATCAAACAAAATTTCGTTGCTACGTGTCTCGGTTGCTATGGCAACAGCCGGAAAAGTTTGAAAAATCGAGATTTTTAGCCACTTTAAATCTTGACTGTGGCTTAATAAAAACTAGAAAAAGCAAACAAACCATTCTCACAAAAACATGACACCTTGATGTCACTTATACTGTAAAGAAACTGTTTAGAATATATCTCTAAGTAAGTGGTAACCAAGGGTACATTTGGAATACATTTAAAATGCTGATATATGCTGAAAAACGCTCAATATTCACTAATGGTAGGTGTTATATGCTCAAACTCAATCAACGACTTAAGAAAAACAATGAAAATGTTTGACCTTAAGTATATAAGTATAAGCAATATTATTCTATAAAATACTTTAATGGTTGCCACGGTAACACAGTGTAACCATGCAAAACCAGTAACTAAGATTGGGTTAATGCTACTGTCTTGAGGAAAAACATGAAAATTCAAGACTGGCAAATATGCATCCTTAGGACCTTGCAACACCAAAACCATAAGAAAAATTGGGTATAATTGCTACTTTGTAGTGTTACCATGGAAACAAAGTACCAGTGCTTAAAAATGAATTATTTTCTGCTGCATTAAGAATTAAATTGCCATTTAATCAGGAAACAAATTAAAAGACTCAGCTTGAATAGTACTTATCTGTTAGAACTGAAGTTGAATATCATATATTGATAAAATTTGATGAATAAAACAACACTGTTGCTATGGTTACCAAGAAGGGAAAATGTTCGATTTTGTGAACTTTATATCAATATTAAACCCTGTGTGCCAACTTCTTGCATCCACTTAGAGATTGGATGATAGTCAAAATTAAAAGTCAAGTTAGCTGTTAATAAATATCAATCATAAAAGTTTTGGGAATCTACATTTAAGGGTACGTATCCAAGGAAACAAAATATTTTTCAGGTTTTTAAGCATATATTTTCTGCTTATTTCCATAGCAACGCTTTATTTAAAGAATCTAATCTGAATTTTTTCAAATGGGAAAATTTGGAGCACACCAACATCTTATAAAATTGGTCATTAGTTATGAGGAAATGTGCTTTTTTTAAAAGATAGGATCAGATTTAAACATACATAGTGTTACTTTGAAGGCTCTCTGTGGTATAAAAACCTTGGCAACCATTGCCTACCAAAATGAAATATATTTTTTTCTTGGTATGTGTTTCAAGGCTCTTTTTTCTATTATTTGGTCACATTTCATCCTATAATTGCTTTTTATTTTTACGTGTATGACTTAATAAAATTCAATGAATATTTTTTTTACCTTTGAATACTTTGTTACCATAGTAACATATGTAATAGTTGATTTACCAAACATGTTTATCATGCATTTGAGACATCTGACCTTCAACTTTTGGAAACAGTCATTGACAATTGTTTTCTTTGCCGCAAATGTTAACTATGGGGCTCTAAACATGTTTAAAAATGCCATTTTTCGAACTTTAAGACATGTTACCGTGGTAACTATAAAACAAGTTAATCAATTTTTGCCTGATTTCAGTTTAGGGTATCAATGACTATTATCATAGAGAGTTTGGAGAAATTCTGAGACTATGCGTGCCACAGCTCCTATATAAAATTTCAAATCATTACAGAGAATGGCTCTTAATATTTTTAGAAAATGCATCAAGGAAAATACAATGTAGTTAGATTCATAGAATCGCAGCAGTATTTTAATACTCAACTACAAACCATACACTGACAATTAATTTATGTCTGTAGTATTGGAATTTCTGTCTTCAAAAATCGAGAAAAAAAAATAGTAAATGCATTATATACTAATGTTTGTAAGTATGGTGTAACATTTAAAAAATAAGGAAGGAAATTTAGGAGTCTGAAATACCATTTACAATTCAAATATTACACAAGGAAAAGCAACATATTTACATAATTTCACAGGATTTCTTCCTTGTATCATAAGTGCAACAACAACCCCTCCTCCCCATAGAATCCCTTTGATATTTTTTGTACAGCCATTAGTGGTACATTGTACATGAAAAAGTGACGAGACCCACAGCCAGCATAGCTTAGAATTTTAGCAAAAAGAAATCACAGACAAGTGATGAATTAAACAAATGGATTGAGTTTTGTAAAAAAAGTCCTATACGGAGCCAGGCAAGCGCCAGTAAGCACTGTTGTTGATAATCGGAAGTTTGCATAAAGATTAAGAAGCAGAATGTTAGATTTTAAACATATTAGATATGATAAAAAGGATGCACCCATTCTCATCCACCTTAAATAAAGGTTTCCTAGACAGAAGATTTGTTTTTTAAAGGTCCCCATGTTTTTTTTGGGAAAGGATATTATTATCCCCCCTTCTGTTGCCAGATATGACCATTTCTGACAAATGAACTGTTTTTGTCATAAAAATTAACTCACTAAAGAAATATAAAACCAGAAAAATCTTTAACTTTTGTGACAGAACGCTACGGGGGGGGTAGTGACCGCCAATATACGTGAATGGATGCCAGAACGGTGGTTGATGTGCATTAAAATCGGGGAGGATTAATTCAAAATATAATCAACATTAAAACCAAATATTGTTTCTTGTATGGAAGTTATTCAATTAGTTTGCGGAACTTTTTGATCACCCCTCTAACATTCTGCTTCTCAGTCTTTATGCAAACTTCTACTATCAACAACAGTGCTTATGGGCTTGCCTGGCTCCGTATAGGATTTTTTTTTTGTTTTACATTTCGATGTGAAAAACTCAATCCATTTGTTTAATTCATCACTTGTCTGTGATTTCTTTTTGAAAATTCTAACTTCTGGGGGGGTCTTATATTTCATGTATACTAATGGCTGTACAAGAAATATAAAAGGGGATTAAGGGGGAGGGGGGGGGGGTTGAACTGATGATAAAAGGGAAAGAAATCCTGTAAAAATATGTTGCTTTTCCTTGTGTAATATTTGAATTGTAAATGTTATTTAGACTCCTAAATTTCCTTCCTTATTTTTTAAATGTTACACCATACTTACAAACATTGTTAGATATAATGCATTTTTTTTCTCGGTTTTTGAAGACAGAAATTCCAGTACTACAGTACATGAATTAATTGTCAGTGTATGGTTTGTAGTTGAGTATTAAAAATACTGCTGCGATCCTACTTGCCAGTAATATCTTATGATTCAAACTACATTGTATTTTCCTTGATGCATTTAAACATATTTAATGGTTAATACCCATTTCTAAATCTACAAAGTGCGGCAAATCTTCGGAGAAGCTAAAGAAAAAAAGTGTCGAGAGAAAATTAATTAGGTTGTACCGTATGTATTTTTTCTATATAACAGGTTATTTTCGTTAAGAAATGTGCAAATAAGAAGCAGTCAAAATTTCCACGAAAAATTATTAGCAATTAGTAAGAGAGATTAATAGAGCGATTTTGATGTCTAGTCGGTTTTGTTACCATGACACAAATATGCGTATGATGGTATTTAAACAGGCGTATAGCACCGATATGAGCTGTATTTTTATTTATTGGGGAAAAATTGTAACAGATAAAACCTTATTTTTAAAATGTGCAAATGAATAAAATTTTGTATTTAGAAACACTAAAAAAAAAGACATTTTTAAGAAAGCAGGAGCAAAATTTGGATATTATCTAAATTTTTTACGCCTCAAATTTTTGACGTTTTTACGCTTAAAGACGTACAACACACTGGGGGGGAAACTCTTGGATTTCAATTGAACGTTTGACGTTACGTCAAATTTAACGTCAAAAATAAAGCGTCAAAACGACGAGTAAAACGATCCCGATGTATATCAATCATGAAAGAAAATATTGGATATGGGGCTTGGCTGTGATTGTGCGTACCATACTCAATCCAAAATTTTTTTTTTAAATTTAAACCCCATTAAACTCCGTAAAAAGCAAGACATAAAATACCAACCCTTAATGTTTATTTCATTTCATTTCATATACAATAAATTGTATTTTTGATCAAAGCGCAGCATTTTTTTAATTCAGAAAATTATATTTTACATTGCCGAAATTCTCATTGTGTACAATTAGCTATATAATATTCCGATTAATGGTCTTCATTACAATTTGTAATACACGATATAAATATTGTTTTTCTCTAAAACAACAATA